TTAGGGTATATTCATGTGGAAGATCCTCAGTTCAAGTCCCCGCTCTGCACGAGGAGGAGAAGGGATTTGAACAGGGATCTGCCACCTCTCAAGTGAGTGCCCTAACCACTGGGTGACAGAGTGATTCTCATTCTCTCTGACCTAATTAATAAAGTGGAACAACTTAAACTAGAAAGACTGAAGAAGCTGCACATCAGAATATCCAATAGCCCCATGATTAAGGCACTCACCTGCGAGGTGACAGATCCCTGTTCAAATCCCTTCTCCTCCTCAGGCAGAGGGGGCACTTGAACCGAGGATCTCCCATATTCCAGGTGAGTATCCTTAACTACTGGACAAACAGTTATAAGGGAGGTTGGTTGTCCCCCTTCCTAGCTGTTTTGCGTGGAGCTAGATAGTTGCTGAGTGCACCCACTGGACTGGGCCCTACACGTGAGTTAGGCAGCTGAACTCCTCTCTTCCCCAGTTTATGGATTGCAAGCAGAGATAGGCACCTCTCTGCAGCCCACACTTAGGAATCTATCTCAGAGAGGAGCAGGACTTAGAACATTTTTGGCATCTCCCATTGGCTGGCTTGGGCTGCTCCTTGCATACCTAATGTGCTGGGTTTTGTAGATTGCATTCTAAGTGGCCATCTCTCCCCATTCATTGAATAGGGAGCATAGGTGCCAAACTCAGGCTTTTTGGGTTGCAGTATTGTTTCTCATTTTGACACCTACTTATCTATTGTTCGGAGTGGACTACATCCACCCTGATTGAACTGGCCCTGTCAACACTGGTTCTCCACTTGTAATGTAACTCCCTTCTCTTCATGTGTCAGTATATTTATGTCTGCATCTGTAATTTTCACTCCATGCATCTGAAGAAGTGGGGTTTTTACCCACGAAAGCTTATGCTCAAATAAATCTGTTAGTCTTTAAGGTGTCACCAGACTCCTTGTTAGTATTGTTCCTGTGATTTTCTAGGTGCCTAAAAGTTAGGAGTTACTATGCTCTGTCCCTTTGTAGATCCAGGCCACTGTCACAGTCAAATGAAATGCAAAAGGCAAACAAAAATCATAAGCACTGAAAAGTAGATTGGATTTTAAACATTATTTCACTTCTTATGAAAAAGTGAAATTTGTAACATAAGAGATTATATAATTATTTTTAACCTGACCGTCACCCTTTAAATAGTGGGACAGCACATGTGAAAGTTAGTAGGGTTTGCCTCCTTGCAAGGGAAACTGAAGAGGATGGTTGATATTTGGACAATGGAGAGAAGGAAATTCAGACATTTCCCCCATACAACAAGAGGTTTTTGCCACAACCTGTTTCTTTTATTTTTATCATAGCTAGCTTGGTAGCATGTACTTCACTAGGACCTTTATTTCCTTTTCTCACACCCAACAGAAGTATCACAGGCTGTGGAAATGCATTTCAGTCCCTCTAGTCCCAATACCATTTTAGCTACTTCTTATACTGTTTGGCCTTGATGTGCCTGACATTCCTCTGCCACAGCGCTTTGCAGCATGAGTGGGGAGGGCAAACTTTGGCTTTATGTCCTTGTCCAATCTCCTACTCTTATGGATAGAGTTCCAGGATTTTTAATGTCCACATGGAATAGATAGGACTTCAGCTGTGAAGGCCTCAACTGGATGATTCCTTAGAATCTAAAAAGATAAGACAAACAAAGGATGGGAGAAAGGAAGTACTATATTCCCATTTTACTCCAGAGATTAAACGTTTTGTCCAGGGTCACACAAGCTGTGGCAGTCTGGGAATGTAAACTAAATCTCTTGAGTCCCAATTCAGTGTCTTCTCTGTAAAACCACTCTTCCTAGCCCAACCAAACCACTGAAATGTCACAGTTATGGTCCTGTGCCAAAGTATATATTTTTTCCGAGGCAGTGTGAGACAGATCAGGCATTTAGTAGATGCCTGGATCCAAAGACGGAGGTGATCTAACTTCTTGGACACTTTCTTAATGCTTCTTTGAAACACCATAAGCCTAACTTTGAGTTTCTTGACTAAGCAATTTTTGAGTAAACATGTTGTCCCTGGTGAGAATTCATGCCTCTGAGCAGTTTTAGGTAGGTATTGTTTAGTTATCAGTAGAAATTTCCATGCAGGTTTCCACACACAGCATGCTCGCTCATGTCTCCTGTAGAAGAGGTATACTGGCCTGGTGTGTGCTATTAAAGAAGTAAGCTTCAGTTGGATGTTTAAAGGTGCTGCACCTCCTGAACGATACTATAGGGTGTCACATTTTCAGGTATTCAATACAGACTCCCTCATAGAGAGAAACCAGTTAAAGAGACTGAAGATATGTTTACACTTCGTGGTGGGAGGTGTGATTCCCAGCTCAAGGAGATATACTTTTGCTACAGCTGATCAAGCTAGCACGCTAAAAAGCCAGAAGTGTAGCCATGGCAGCACAAGTGATGGGAGGGCTAACTACCCCGAGTACAATCCCGTCTGAGACGCTAGTACGTACTTGGGCAGCTAACCCCTCCTGCAACTGGTGCTGCTGCAGTTAGACTCTATTTGCTGTATCAGAAGTAGCACAGATTTATCTTCTTGAGCTGGAAATTAAACCTCCAGATCAGAGTGTTGACTTTGACATACCATCAGGCAGAGGATGCAGACAGGTTAGATTTCAGCATCAGTTATGGGTTTGTTTCATCAGGTACTTCTTCTGGTTCATTAAATACATAAGTTATACTAAAACCTTCCTCAGTCACCATTAAAATACTATATACTGCAGTTTCCTTTAGCAGCACATCTGTATCTTCAGCTGTGCACTTCCTAAACTGTGAGTCTCTAAGCACTTCAGACTTCCTAAGAAGCAGGTCTCAGGTGCTGGGAAAGAAGAGGCCTGAAGGAATTTCTGCAGTCTTTCCAAGCCTCACAGGAACCTTGCATCCTTCCCAAACAAGACTTGCACTGATTTATACTAAATCCATTTTAAAAATTGATTTTAATTAGCACAGTATAACTTCTGGGTGTATACAAGGCCTAAGACTTTCTAAGATGCATCAAAACTCTGAAGCCTCCTCAGAGCCCTTGATCTTCCTCTTCTAACCCCTCCCCTCCCATCCCTTCAATGGACTCAACAGTGTTTCCATCTGAACACTGGGATTTGAGGGTGCTCAGCACCTCACAGGAAAAGCTCAGAATTTTGCAAGGACTTATTGACTTACCACTGGACCTGGTTCCCAAGATCAAAATATCCTATCTTATTCCATCTGCCATGAGAGAAAGTTTAAAGCGCACATAGACATAACAGGAGGGTAGAGGTACAGATTAACTCAAGTGGGAGGCATTTCCATGGCAGCACTTAAGTAAATAATAATTCACAGGAATAATAATGGGAAAATACATTCCTTCTTCAAAGGAAAACATAGCTTAAGGGAAGGAAGCAGCCAGGTGTGCCACCAGTGGTGGCTGCACAATAAGGCTAATGTTGATGTTTTAAAAATCTTTAATGCATCCATATTAATTATGCATTTGATGATAAAGTAATGGCTGCGCACTTTTGTACTGGCACCCTACACACATTCCCAAGACCCAGCTAGATAAAAAGACACAACTGCATCATGTTTTTCAAGCTAACCCTTTAATGAAATCTATTTTTCCTAGGGCAGAGAGCTTCAGAAAGGGCAGAGGGTTCCAGAAAGATCAAAGACTTTGATCCTTACCACATAAAAAAGAGATCTATATTGTGTCCTAAAGATCAGAGCAATGGAAGGTGACTATATAGGTGTCTCCTCTATGAACAGCACACGTTCCAGTGCATTTGAAATAAAAGTAAACAAATCAGACAGCATCCCTTTGAAGGAGATCTGCAGTCGACTGATAAAACAATACTCTGTGTCAGGGCCTGCAACTAGCCTGCTTACCTGCTAGCTTAAGCCTCAGACAGTCTAACAAGTGTAACTGGGCCCCAACTGAGCCACCTGAATGACCCATCTGCTCAATAGGCTGAGACGATAAGGAGACCTGCTCTTAAGATCAGCAACAGGGCACTGGCTGCTGAAAGCGTTTGCAAATATTGCCTCAGACCCAGTCCTGCTTCTGCCTTGTCTCATTCCAGCTAATTCAGCTCTGACCCTCAGCTCCGATTCCTGACCTCTGGGTCTCACCCTCGGCTCCAGCCACTAGGCCTGACTTCAACCACTTGTCACAACCCGCCTGTGTCCTAGTCACATGACACTCTGCAATTTAGCACAGGTTGTCATGTGGACATTTTACGGTATAAAAGTCCTATTGGTGAGAGAACCAATACGTGAAAGTTAAGCAGAACTAACACCACTGCCAGGAATGAGATGACGCCTTATTAGAAGTGGACTGCTATTGTTTGGTGCAGGGGGGTAGAATTCTCAGTCACATCCAGGTTCTAGTTTTGTGACTGGCCCTTCCACGTTGGACTGAATTAAATCCCAGATCCAAACATGCCCTGAAATTTGGGGAGTTTGAAATCTGGAACTAGAACTGAATTATACAGCCCAGGCCCAACTCTAGTACAATGTCAATAGGGTCTTTCGTCTGAGGATCTAAACATGCTTTGCAAACAGTAATGAACGTGAAATATTACATCCGGTCAGGGAAACCAAGGCACAATTTAAGTGGCTTGCTCAGGGCCACACACTGATTCAGTGGCAGAGCCAGGAATGGAACCCAGGAGTGCCGACACCTAGGACTCTGTATGCAGTGGTGTTGTAGTCATGTCGGTCCCAGGAAATTGAAGAGACAATATCTTTTACTGGACTAACTTCTGTTGGTGAGAGAGACCAACTTTTGAGCTTATGCAGAGTGCTCTGCTCTAATCTCTCACTGATGCATACTCCCTACCCATAACAGAATGTCCCAATGGGAGGCAAAGCACCTCTCTCCCTCTCAGAGCTGAATACTCTGTTTCTAAGAGTTGTCAGGCAATTTTGGATGCTAACCAGCTGCTGCTGAAGTGCCTTCTCATTGGGAGGGAAGCAAAGGATGAGAAGAAAGAGGAGAGGCTCCCACCTGTCTGACACGTCAGGAAGAGATAAAACCATCCACTGCCAGGCTCCCAAACCTTCACTGTTAGTGAAGTGCCAGAACGTCCTGCTCTGTTCCTTCCCCGTTTTGTTCTCGACAAGGACCAGGGAAATATTTCCAAACAAGAAGCCGTGGATGAGCCATGACATTCGGAGCTGCAAGGAAGAGAACATATAAGAAAGCAAGCAAGATACGTTAGTTATCCATAAATAAACTAAATCCCCAATTCTTCTCTTTCAGTTCCTTCTTTCCCTCCCTCCAAATCCTCAATCCTTCTTCCCTGATGTTCTTCTCCCCCTCTCGGCAAAGGGGTATATATATTTGGGGAAATATTGTTGTGCAGAGGTATTTGGTGCAATATGCTAGTAAAGATACAAGAAGTTAATGGAAAATTTGTGGGCCTGATTCGCATTTACACTAAGGCCCCTTGTACACCATTCTGATAGTGCAAAGGGGTCTAAAAAGTGGGTTCACATGTAATTTATACCCGTTTTAAGGTCCCTTTACAGTGCGTGGTATAAATAGCGATAGTTTAAATGAAAGTCAGGCCCTTTATACCCATCTATATATCTTAGAATACATGGGTACTTGGTGCAGGATTCTTACACTCAGGTAAGTATTCAGGTGTTTTATATTCAGTTAAAAAATTAGAGCTCAGTAATTCTCAAACCACATTTGGCTCTTTACATGGTTATTTCTCTTATCTCCTCCAGTCTGGCTCTTTGTCCCATGTTTTGGCTTATGAACTATGGTAAAATTTAGTGGTTAACTGGAGCCGATGGGTGAAAGCCTGGCCTCACCAAAGTCAATTGCAAAACTCCCATTCACTTTAATGGGGGCCAGTTTTCACCACATCGACGGCTGGTGACGGGGCACTAAATGGGGAGGGTTCCGAATTGCTACAGAGAATTATTTCCCAGGTATCTGGCCGGTGCATCTTGTCCACATGCCCAGGGTCTAACTGATCACCATATTTGGGATTGGGAAGGAATTTTCCACCGGGTCAGATTGGCCTGAGAGTTTTTCCCCTTCCTCTGCAGCCTGGGCCATAGGTTATTTGTAGGTTTAAACTAGTGTAAATGGTGGATTCTCTGTAATTTGAAGTCTTTAAACCATAATTTGAGGACTTCAGTAACTCAGCCACGGCACGGGTCAGGGGTCTATTCCAGGAGTGGGTGGGTGAGGTTCTGTGGCCTGCAATGTGCAGGAGGTCAGTCTAGATGATCACAGAATCATAGGACTGGAAGGGACCTCAAGAGGAGTGCAGTCTGCTGCACTCATGACAGGACTAAGTATTATCTAGACCATCCCGACAGGTGTTTGTCTAACCTGCTATTAAAAATCTCCAACAATGGAAATTCCCCAACCTCCCTAGGCAATTTATTCCAGTGCTTAACCACCCTGACAGTCAGGAATTTTTTCCTAATGTCCAACCTAAACCTCCCTTGTTGCAATTTAACCCCATTGCTTCTTGTCCTACCCTCAGAAGATGTTAAGGAGAACAATTTTTCTTCCTTCTCCTTGCAACAACTTTGTATGTACTTGAAAATTGTTATGTCCCCCCTCTGTCTTCTCTTCTTCAGACTAAACAAACCCAACTTTTTTCAATCTTCCCTCATAGGTTGTGTTTTCTAGAACTTTCATCATTTTTGTTGCTTTTCTCTGGACTTTCTCCAATTTGTCCACATCCTTCCTGAAATGTGGCACCTAGAACTGGACACAATACTCCAGTTGAGGCTGTATCAGCGCAGAGTAGAGTGGAAGAATTATGTCTCGTGTTTTGCTTACAACACTCCTGCTAATACATCCCAGAATGATGTTTACTTTTCTTGCAACAGTCTTACATTGGTTTCAGAGTAACTGCCGTGTTAGTCTGTATTCACAAAAAGAAAAGGAGTACTTGTGGCACCTTAGAGACTAACCAATTTATTTGAGCATAAGCTTTCGTGAGCTACAGCTCACTTCATGTGAGCTGTAGCTCATGAAAGCTTATGCTCAAATAAATTGGTTAGTCTCTAAGGTGCCACAAGTACTCCTAGTCTTACATTGCTGACTCATATTTACTTTGTGATCCACTATGACCCCAGATCCCTTTCTGCAGTATTCTTTCCTAGGCAGTCAGTTCCCATTTTGTATGTGCACAACTGATTGTTCCTTCCTAATTGGAGTACTTTGCATTCATCTTTACTGAACTGGTATCATCTGCAAACTTTATAAGTGTACTCTCTATGCCATTATTTAAATCATTGATGAAGACATTGAACAGAACTGGAACCAGAATTGATCCCTGTGGGACCCTATTCGATATGCCCTTCCAGCATGACTGTGAACCACTGATAACTACTCTCTGGGAACAGTTTTCCAATCAGTTATGCACCTATCTTATAGTAACTCCATTTAGGTTGTATTTTCCTAGCTTGTTTCTGAGAAGGTCATGCGAGAGAGTATCAAAAGCCTTACTAAAGTTAAGATATGCTACATCTACTGCTTTTCCCTTATCCATAAGGCTTGTTACCCTGTCAAAGAAAGCAATTAGGTTGGTTTGACTTGACTTGTTTTTGACAAATCCATGCTGACTGTTACTTATCACCTTATTATCTTCTAGGTGTTTGTAAATTGATTGCTTAATTATTTACTCCATCTTGCCGGGTGCAGAAATTAAGCTGACTGGTCTGTAATTCCCTGGGTTGTCCTTATTCCCCCTTTTATAGATTGACACTATATTTTCCCTTTTCCAATGCTCTGGAATCTCTGCTGTCTTCCATAACTTTTCAAAGATAATCGCTAATGGCTCAGATGTCTCCTCAGTCAGCTCCTTGAGTATTCTAGGATGCATTTCATCAGACGCTGGTGACCTGAAGACATCTAACTTGTCTAAGTAATTTTTAACTTAGTCTTTCCTTATTTTCGACTCTGATCCTACCTCATTTTCACTGGCATTCACTATGTTAGATGACCAATCACTACTAACCTTTTTGGTGAAAACCAAAACAAAAAAGTCATTTAGCACTTCTGCCATTTCCACATTTTCTGTTATTGTTTCCCCCCCTCATTGAGTGATGGGTCTACCTTGTCCTTGTCCTTCCTTTTGCTTCTAATGTATTTGTAGAATGTTTTCTCGTTATCTTTTATGTTTTTTGCTAGTTTAATCTCATTTTGCGTCTTGGCCTTTCTAATTTTGTCCCTACATACGTGTGCTATTTGTTTATATTCATCCTTTGTCATTTGACCTAGTTTCCACTTTGTGTAGGACTCTTTTTTTGAGTTTCAGATCATTGAAGATCTCTTGTTTAAGCCAGGGTGGTCTCTTGCCATACTTCCTATCTCTTCTACACAGTGGGATAGTTTTCTCTTCTGCCCTTAATCATGATGGTCCCTTCTGACCTTAATCTATGAGTGTATGTATGTGGAAACCCCCAGTACCTCATATATGCCATTGGAGCAGTGCCTTTTTAAAAAAAACAACCCAAAACAACAGATAAGTTTAAAACATGGACCGTTTTCTTATCACTTTTATGTTCAGTGCACATGTACTTTATTATAAAAGGACGACTTTAATACTTGTGTGATCCATAACTCTAAGGCTCACTCTCCCTTTAGAAAAGGAGTACTTGTAGCACCTTAGAGACTAACCAATTTATTTGAGCATGAGCTTTCGTGAGCTACAGCTCACTTCATCAGATGCATACCGTGGAAACTGCAGTTTGATGATGAAGTGAGCTGTAGCTCACGAAAGCTCATGCTCAAATAAATTGGTTAGTCTCTAAGGTGCTACAAGTACTCCTTTTCTTTTTGCGAATACAGACTAACACGGCTGTTACTCTGAAATCTCCCTTTAGACATGATCTAATAGATACAAGTTAAACCTGACAGCTTTTTCAGTGATGAACTCTCCTATATTCAGGCAGCAGCAGAAACAAGTGCAGAATGACTGCAATAAGAGGGTGTCGCTAGCAATTACATGCTTGTCCCCTAGATATTCCTTTCAAAAATTAGTTTTTCCCTCCTTCTCTTCAGGTTTTTATGGACTTTCCAATTATGATCCAGTGATATTTTGCTTTTTATTAATTAAAGTACTGTATGGAGAACAGTCTCAAGCATTTTGGTTACATCTAATGTAACAAAGTCCCTTAGTGGCTCTTTATCTCTGTAGATAAAATTATTTCCTGGCATTTTCTCGTTTTAGGACTCATTTTCTCTCATTGTCAGGAATGAAATATAAATCTTTGCAATTTGGTCTGGTCTCAAAATCTCTAACATGAACACTGCTGTCTAATTTTCTTTGAAATAACCCCCTCAAACTCTCTGCTTATAAAGAGCTTAATAAGAAAAAAAAATACTGCATGCAGGGGCTGGATTTATGCAGCCATCACAATAATCAACAAATGTGAGGCTGCCCAAGGAATGAGTTTACTGAGGCTACGTTAATGATGGATTTCTAGACACAAGAGAGTATTCACAGCACTGAATCCTGATTCAACTCTCATAAAAAAAACCCTTCATAATTTTGTAATGCTTCAAATCCAGCACAGAACCTAACTAGGGAGGTTAGGTAATTGCACCTATATTTTTATATGGTAATACTATTTGTTGTCTTGATAATATACATTTTCTCCATTCTCTATTTAGCTAGGTTACAGAATTAGAAAGGCTAGCAGTTATCATGCTTCAGGGAAAAAGCTGGTCAGTAGTTGTTTTACCCCTCCCCATGACTTGACACTGTACAATTAGCTAAGATGGGGTTTGTATGTGTGCATTATGAGAGCATCTTTGCCTGAGGCATCAAGTCTATGCAGAGGTCAGATTTGGGCATGGGGAGGATGAAGTGGTGATGCTGATGATGCTGAATTGAACCTCTGGCCACAGTCCCAGAGCGTGAGGTATTTCACTGCTGATCATCCCAAGGGACCATGAGATCACAGAATCATAGAATATCAGGGTTGGAAGGGACCTCAGGAGGTCATCTAGTCCAACGCCCTGCTCAAAGCAGGACCAATCCCCAACTAAATCATCCCAGCCAGGGCTTTATCAAGCCTGACCTTAAAAACCTCAAAGGAAGGAGATTCCACCACCTCCCTAGGTAATGCATTCCAGTGCTTCACCACCTTCCTAGTGAAAATGTTTTTCCTAATATCCAACCTAAATCTCCCCCACT